TATAAAAGTATACAAATGGACTTCTTAAATAGTAAAAAAAATGTACAAATTGAACTCTCTAATGGAATGAGTTAAAGTGAAACATGCTAGTAGTTTAGTGGATCTATTTATATGTTTTTTTAATTTATGGGATAAAATGATATTTTTTAATAGTTTAAAAAAGTCCATCTATATATTTTTATAATTTAAAAGATTAAAATGACATTTTTCAATAATTAAAGAATCTCTATGTGAGTAATCCTATGTTAAAAACAAAGTACACCTAACCTTGTTAGTGGAAAATCACAAGACCTGCATTTATTTGAGATACATAACTTTTAGAAAAGATATTTCACTCAAATATTTAATTTTTTTTTTGGTTGATAACTCACTAGGTATTTTGTGCAAAATTTTATTTTATAAAACTGTTTGAGGTTGAGTCTTGCTTAAAATATTGGAAAAATTAGTTTAAAGTCTCTATCTCATTTTTAATAATGGAAGAGATTCACAATATTATTTTGTGATGTCTAAGGTTCTTCAATCCAACACCCATATATTATAGAAAAACATCAATGCTTTGTTGATTTTTTTTTTTTTTTTTTGTTTTTGTTTTGAGTCAAAGAACACAATTTTGATTTGTCGAAAATGCTATGATTGATTATCATACATGTTCGTTGTTATCAGTGAATTAGATTAGATGGACAATACACAAAATTTTTGTTATATCGAGGTAGATGATGAAGATAAAGGAGGAGGAAGGAAATGATTCATGTTGCAAGTCTTCAACATCGTACTGATTGTTTGGTAGCCAAACATCAATTCATCAAATGATGGGTGGAAGTAAGGGTGAGATTGATTGGTTTTTATAAATAATGAAGATACAAGCTCCTTGACCCATATAGTTGCAAATAGTTTTTTCATATTCCAGTCACATTCACACCTAAAAATGGGTTTAATGCTTCGCGATTCATCAAATCAAAAACTTGGAACGAGAGAACCACAAGCAACAAAAATATAGTACTTAAAAGTGTGAAAGGCATAGAAAAGCAAGGAACATACCTGTTCATCAAAGATTGTATGATGAAAATAGAAAAATTTGATATTGGAGATGTGTAAAATTTTCTCTGTAATATATCTAGAGAAATTTAGTGTTGGTGATGTGTCTAGAGAAATTTAGTATTGGAGATGTATAAATTTTTCTCTGTAATGTGTGCAAAAAAATGTTTCCATGATGTATAAAATTTTCTCTGAATCAAATTTTCTTTAAATTAATATTGAGAAATTTTAGACATTTTAAAAATATTAAATATCTTTTATACTATAAAATCTTAATACTAGAGATCTTAAAAAAAATCTCCTAAAATATTTTATTTCAATATGTTTTATTAGTTTACTTTTTCACGAATACCCATATATGTAAACAACAGCGCTACATACACCCAGTGGGGGTCGCGCCCCCAGTGACGTGGCGGGGCCCCACTGGCTGAAAACTTAAAAAAAAAAAAACAATTTTTTTTTTCGACCAATCCGAGGCCGACACCTCACTGGGGGTCGACCCCCAGTGGGGGTATGAAGCTTTTTTCTATAATAACTAACACCACAATAAGTGATAGTCAAAAACTACAAAAATCGTAACCAAAACGGATGTGTACCATATAATTTTCCGTAAAACGTAAATTACATTGACAATATGAAAAAATATATAAATAATCTCATAATTTTGATATAATTATAATAATTTCTTTTAATAAGCTTAAAATGATCAAACCTTCAGTAGATTGACGTGAAAATATAAATAATAAATAAATAAAAATATACAATATAGTGTAAAAGAGATAATTATATAATTTTTTTATCTTGATAACTAACGAATTATTAATAAAAATATAGTTAAAGTATTGTGCGTTAAAACTAATGTAATTATGCTAAAATTTTAGGACATGTTATATTTTCTCCAAATCTTAAAAGCGGTTAATATAATTTGCCTCTATTATTATTATTATTATTATTTGTTTTAGTAATATAAATGGTAGAGTTATACAAAAAACTAAAATTACATTAAAAAAAATACAGATTGAATAATTGTTGAGTCACTTTTGTTATGTTTGATTCACTAGAATAAAATATGAAATCATAGTCTAAATTCCTTTTTTCATAATGAAGTTTTATTATGTTTGTTGCTAGAATTTTAGACATAATTCTCTTCTATATTTTTAAATATTTTTTTTACTCATTGACCAAAAATAACAAATAATTTACTTTAGTCACAACCATAGATTCACGGGACTTTAATACTGAAATCAAGCTATAAGTTAGGTTTAGATGACAGTAATTTTAGTGGATAATAAGAATATGATTTCAGATCCTTATAATTTAAATGTTTGATATATAATAGAATTAGTGTAAAACTTGTGCTATGCAAGGGTAAGTAATAAAATATAATAAATAATACTAAACATGTTAAAAAATAACTTTATGATATTAATTTAGATGGATGTTTAAGTAATAGACAAGGAATGTGTCTGGAGTATTGTGCGATAAACAAGTACCTATTAGACTAAAAGGGAAATTCTATAGAACGACTATTAGACCAACGATATTCTATGGGACGAAATGTTGGGCAACTAAGAAACAACATATAGATAAGATGAGTGTTACTGAGATGAGAATACTAACGTGGATATGTGACAAAACTAGAAAAGTCGGAGTTAGGAATTAGTATATTTGAGAATGAGTATGAATAGTATTGATAGAAGATAAGTTGAGAGATAATAGATTGAGATAGTTTAGTCATATACAATGGATACCAACAGAGATAGTAGTGAAGAGATGCAATACAGTGATAGTAGATAGTAGTGTTAGAGGAAAAGGTAAACCTTGATTGACGTGAATTAGTGCAATAAATAAAGGTATGAATCTTCTTACTTTGACTCATGAAATGGTCTTAGATAGAGTCAAGTGAAGAAGAATGTTTCATGCAGTTGATCTCATTTGATGAGACTTAAGACTTGATTTGATGAGACTTAAGGCTTGATTTAATTTAGTTTGCTTCGGTTTGGATTTAAATAATATATTTAAGTGATTTCACTATATTTATTTAATTAATTTTTTTCAAATACATTCAACCGAAGAAACTCAGTTGAAAAGGAAGAGTAAGAGTGAAATTTTATAAATATAAGATAAATATAAATAAATAAAATTAAAAAACTTAAGTTTAAATTTGAAGATGAATATAAAAAGAGAAAGTTAGATAAATTTTAAAAAAATAATAAACTCAACTGAAAATCAAGAGTGAGAGTGGATTATGTAAACATAAGATAAAGATTAAAAAAATTAAAAAATTAAAAAAATCAAGTTTAAATTTGAAGATGAATTATAAGAATATAGAAAGATAAAATTAAATAAATTCTAAAAAAATGAGGTAGAGAAAAATTAGTAAACATCAAATGAAGATGGAAAAAAAAAATCAAGTTGAAATTTAAAAATTAAAAAAAAAAAAGAAATAAACTTGAAAAAAAAAAAAAAAAACTAATCACTCTGTTTGTTTTCAGTTTTCAGAATTTACTTTTTAGAAAATTTTACTTTTTTGTTTTCCGTATTTTTTTGTTTTCACTGAATTTTTTTAATTTTTAAGCACACCTAACATAAATACACTTAAAAAGTATAATATTTTTGAAAAAAAAAAAAAACTTTACAAAATTTTAAAAATATTAAAAAAATATGAAATTTCAATACATTTTCGCATTTTGTTGCATTCAATGATTTTTGTAAAGATTTTTGCACAAATTTTTTACTTTTTAAGTATATTAAGATTAAGTGAATCTAAAATTTAAAAAAATTTGACTAAAATATTTAAAAATTTATTAAAAATATAAAAATACAAATTTAAAATTTAAAAAAATTATTTTTGATAACTGCCCAACCCAAAAAAATAAAATAAAATAAATTTATTAATCTTTTCACCGAATTTTTTTTTTTCAAAAATGTTTTAAAAATAAATTGTTAAAACCAAACCAAACCAATCCAAGTTTTTTTTTTTTTTGTTGGGGTTCAAGATGAGAGCACATCAGTAGTATTTACGGTTGTTGCATGGCTTAATTTCAAGGTTTTCAATATATTGTGTTCTAGGAATCGTTTGACTAGAAGAAGAAAACAAGAGAGAAGGGAAATATATTACAGCTATAGAAAGCTACTACTAAATTATTATAAGAGAATTGCAACAAGGAAGGGGAAGAAATGCGACAATATCTCTAATAATGCCTAGTATTAGTCTTGTGAATAGTATTCAATAATTAATCATACATATGCTAAGAAGGCTTATCTAATCTTGAATCTACACACAACTAGGCCGGCCCTTTTACATATGCAATTGTCGCCATCGGTAGCAACAAAAGAGGCCTTAGTTATATATATGCAATCTTTGTTGCCAACAGCAAATGAGAATCTTTAGACGGCAAAAAATTTGAAAGAAAGTTCTTTTTGATTGGATGGTTTGCTACACAGATAGCTACTCTTAGTTACTTATTTATATTTTATTAGCAAATAAATAAAATTTTATTAATAAAGGAAAAAGCTTTAGAGAAAACTGCATCATTGTTAAAATATTATATTCCAACTATATTGACATTCAATGTGACATCAATCATAATTTTTTATTTTCATCATACGGCAAAAGATTCTTTATGTGCATAATTATCTCTACTACAATAATTTTTATATGTATAATATTATAATTTGGAGTCCTTCCATACATTAATTGTTAGCCATTGCTTTGTCATCCATTTTTTATTATTTTATATTATTTTTTTGTTTTTTTATAATCAGGTGTCCGGTCAGTTTACGCGCACTTGGACTAATTTCCTGTCTTCTATAGTGTTGGCACCCGTAACCTCTTACGAAACTCATTCACTCACTTGTATCTAGATGTGAGAAAATATAATAAAAGATATCAATATATGTAGCATGTTTTAATTTATTTTTTTTACAAATTTCTATATAAATTCATAATCTAAATACAACCTAATACTTGAAACTTGAACTTCTAGTGCTGGCATGGTGACATTGCCTCAAAAGGACATTAGCTCTATTACATGATATAAAGGATTCAACTTCTCTGTACATAATTGGAGTCTAGTTGTGCCTCTTACGGCTTTTCATACTATTCGAATTCAATTGACTGAAGAGCAGCATGTGCTGATGTGCTATCAATTGGGGTATCTCCTCGTATTTCTCTTCTTAGTTTGGACAGACCCGCATATTACCGATACATATATGTAAAGAATTTGATAAGATAAAAATGTCTTCTGAATTCAGTTTTACTAAATGCATGCATATGAAAATGTATAGATTTCTACAATTGTTAGAGCAACAAGGACCTTCCTTCTTGTTGAACCCCTTTTCGCTTTATTTTCTTTCCATATTCTTGGTGTTCCTCCTCTTTATCAAATGGCACTTTAACAGTCCAACTAACAGAAAAAATCGACCACCTTCACCACCAAAGCTCCCAATTATAGGAAACTTACACCAATTGGGCTTGTTGAAGCATCGCTCACTCCAATCCTTAGCTAGAAAACATGGGCCGATCATGCTGCTTCACCTAGGCAATGTACCTGCACTAGTCATTTCCTCTGCTGATGCAGCTTCTGAGATCATGAAAAACCATGATCTCATCTTCGCAAACAGGCCCAAATCAAGAATCTTCAAGAGACTCATGTATGACTGCAAGGCAGTATCAGTGGCACCTTATGGTGAACTTTGGAGGCAGTTGAAAAGTATTATGGTGCTCCAGCTTCTGAGTAATAAGAGAGTTCAGTCTTTTCATAGTGTGAGAGTAGAAGAAATAGCCGACATGATGAACAAGATTACTGAGCTGTCTAGTTTGTCATTGCCGGTGAATTTAAGTGAAATGTTTACATCACTTACAAATGATGTGATAAGCAAGGCAGCTTTTGGGAGGAAGTATGGTGGTGGGGAAAGTGGAAAGAAGTTCAAACAGCTATTGAAGGACTATTTAGGGCTATTAAGCCGATTCGACGTTGGGAAGTTATTTCCATGGCTCGGTTGGCTTAGCCGAGTCAATGGATTCGATGTTGAAGTAGGGAGGGTGGCCACAGAACTTGATGAATTTCTTGAGGGTGTAGTTGAAGAGCGCTTGAATGGTTTGGAAACAGAGATCTATAATAGTAATGGTGGTCAAGATGGATATACAGGCAGGGAGGACTTTCTTGATAGTTTGCTTCACATATACAAAGAAAACAGTGCTGGTGTTCCTATCGATAGAGATAGCATCAAAGCTCTTATTTTGGTCAGGCTCTCCATCTCTCTCCCTGCATTTTTTTACCATTCTACTAGCATATGTGAATCTCTCAATAAGTCTACCAACACAGAAACCCGATACAAAACATACTCCACCCACAACCCTATAAAAAATCTGATCAATTCATATGTGTTTTGTGTCCAGTTCTATAATTAGTTTTTTTTGTTGTTGTTGGTATTGTTAAAATGATGTGAACTCCCAATTTGTTACTTTACCTAGAAAACAGAAAATTGTCGATGTTTGGATATTGTTGTTGTTGTTCACATGATGTCAACATCCACATGTGGACCATGTCCTGAATAAATTTGTTATATGATTGTGAACATTGAGTCAAACAAATCCCAAATAAAATTTTTTCTTCTAGTTGTAGTTCGATTTTGATGTGAACCTTGACATTGTGAACACAAATGTTGTTCATATTTGTCCACTTAAATATTCACATCACATGTGTATACTAAAAATATGTGGTTTTGTGGTTAATGAATAGGTGATGTTGTATGTTGTTTGGTTGTTTATAGCACTATGAATATTCACATTGTGGTCATTTGCTTATAAATGTGTACATATAATCATTGTCTTACTGTGAATTGTTATAACCAAAATATTGATGTGAACTTTAACATTTCCTTCTATACATATAGACTACCTAATATTATATGGATGTGTAAATATCAATATTCAGTGTGTCACTCCTATTTGTACCATAGCAGTAATGTGAATATTCACATCTCTAAAAAATGTGAATGTTCACATTATATGTTTATCACCTAAATCTTTGTTGCTTTTGCTTATATGAATATCGTTGAATGTGAACATCCACACTGAGTAGTGATGTATTGATGTCAATATGCATGCCTACCCTATCAATTCTATTGAAATCAAATTTAATGTTCATATAAACACTTACTATTTGTGCATGCCTATGTAACAGATGTTGTATCTAATTTTTGCACAAAGAAGAAGAAGAGAAGTATCATGTCAAATAAGAGAGTATGCCTCTAGAGAGCAAACACCCACATCGACATGCGCATGTCAATTATCAAATAAAACATTACAGGCTTTGTAAAATTGATAACAAGCACCAAGTTCTGGGATCCTCAGCTGGATTATTTGAGGCAAACTTCGTTGTTTGATGGTTGGGGCTGTCCATCATACATTAGCTATACCAAAATACAGTGATAGTTTTTTTTTTTTTTTGATTGGATAACTTGTAGTTGAAACACGTGACAACCATATATATAAATCAATGACATACTTCTCACAGACCTATGTGTTTTGATGGTATATTTGGTCTTGATGTGTTGCATGTGCTAAACAATATGAACTGTGAACATCACGTTTGTTTTTTTTATGTTGAAATTTTGTGTGAATGTTCACATCATAATTTATGTTCAATAAATGTGAATGTTCAAATTATGTCCTATGTTTACTGTGGTTGACTACAGATGTTAATAATCACATTATACATTAATTAGGTATATGATTCTATGCACAAATATATTAGAATTAATGTGAATCTTCACATCTATTTATTGCATTGTGAATATTTACATCATAACTGTGGTTGACTACAGATGTTATAATTCACATTATACGTTAATTAGGTGCACGACCCATGAACAACCATATTTGAAATTGGTGTGAATGGGATCGTAATGCATGTTAACTCCCATTCTCAATTAATGTGAATGTTTAAAATATGTCTTATGTTTACTGTGATTGACTACAGATGTTAATATTCACATTTTACATATGTAGGGTGTATGATTCATCCACAAATATATCAAAAAAGAATATTGACTACACATAATAACAGTTGACCAAACAATGTCCTAAACAATATGAAGTGTGAACATCCATATTTGGTCTCTATGTTGAAGTTGGTGTCAATGTTCAATCGTAATTATGTTAAGGCCCACTTTCCATCACATTATGTCCTATGTTTATTATAATTGATTATAGATGTAAATATTCACATTGTACATAAATAAGGTA